CGTCGCCCGCGCGCGTGACCGCTAGGTTCGCCCCGCCCCTCGAAGCAGGGGAGTGGTCGGGCGGCCAACGAGGCTAGGGGCGCGCCGGGGTGGGCGGCGACGGAGGTGGGAGCGAGAGAGTCGCGTCTAATCCGCCTGCCCTGAGGTCATTAAAGGGGCGGGGCCGCACACTTCCTCAATTTCTTTTATAAACCAACAACAAAAAAACCTCAGTCCCTGCACTTAGTGCAGAATGGAGTTGTCTAGAGTGTGCTGGCGTGTGGCGCCTGCCATTCTAGCTGCTGAGATCTGTGGATCTCGGTTCAAAGCCAGCAAGGGCAGAAAAATCCTTAAGACCAGCCATTAACCGGCAGAGCCCGGAGCAGACTCATTGAAGTCTCCATCCATCACTACCCTTAGTTGTTTAAGCTTCTAGAGGAAAATGCCTTGTAATTATCAATGGGGGAAATGTAATCATCTTGGGAGTTGTAAGAAGAAAATGTATCCGGAAATATGTCTGACAACAGTTGGAATAAAGTTTCATTCTATTCTAATAAAGATTAGAATGAAGATTAGAAGAGCCAGCTTCCTGGGTAGTGACTCATGCTTGTGACCCCAGCATTCAGGAGGCTGAGGCCCGAGGATCACAGTGAGACCCTGATTCAAAAAAAACAAAAACAAAAACCCACTGTACACATGAATTGACGTGCTGGATTGAGAACCCCTTTGTGCAACTATTTAAAGAAATTAAAAAGTAAACGTATTCATTAAATAAGTTTGGGAAAGGAGTGTAGTGGAGATGGGAGGGAAAGCATGGTAGGGGAAAAACAAAGGAGGAGGCAACAATGCTTGATAAGAAATGTACTAGCTACCTGGCTCATGTAATTGTAACCCCTCTGTACAGTATTTTCACAATAACTTATTTTAAAAAATAAATGAAAATAAGTTCTTAGAAGTGGCTTTACTGAGCCGGCAAAACCTTATTTTGGTGGCAGAATTACTCTGGGTAAAGATGGTAGTGGCTGGCATGGAACAGTGTTATGTTGGCAACTAGACTGACTTGTATGTCTTAAAGCAGCGTTACCATGCTTGATACCTGGCATGGCATATAGTAATTCACAGGGTGGAGGGAATCAAAGATTTCATTGTTTTCACCTGAAATACCCTCTTAGCCTGCCTTGAATATCATCCTAAAATAGGGTTGCAAACCTAGGACTATATAGCTCATTCCTGTAATCCCAGGAACTCAGGAGGCAGAAATCTGAGGAT